AAATTCTATAATAATAAATTATCTCATAAATTTATAATATCAACGATATTTATCTATTTCGTTTTCGTTTAAACAAAACATGCCACCCACCTTAATAAGCACTTTCTTAACCTAAATTTAAAATTACAAAAATTACGAAAAAAATAAGGAAGAAAATAAAAAAAAAAAAAAAAAAAGAAAATAACAGCTGGAGCGAACCAGGTGTGAAGGTGCTATAAGAGCATCAAGTCGGACTCGACCAAAGCCGCTTCTTTTTCTTACTTTTTCTCTTTCTCTCCCTTCCTAGAATCACCAAACGAAAGCGCCATACCCAGGCCCCACGAAAATGGAACCCTCGCCTCTCGCTCCGCCACCTGCGTCGTCTATCCCGGCTACCACTGCCGCCGCAGCCGCCGCAGCCGCAGCCGCAGCCGCCACGGTCAACTACCCTGACTCCCTTGATTCATCACCCCGTTCGCGGAATACGGATTCATGGGACGATCCAGCGCCGCCGCCCGCTGTCCACTTAAAGCTCCGGCTCATGTGCAGCTATGGAGGTACGATCGTTCCTCGCCCACATGATAAGGTGCTGTGCTACGTGGGCGGCGAGACCAAGATGGTTGTGGTGGACCGGCACACTTCTCTTGCTATTCTCCAACACCGGTTATCCCTCGCTCTTCTCCAGGGCATGTCTTTTACCCTCAAATACCAGCTGCCATCCGAGGATCTCGATTCCCTCATTTCTGTTACCACCGACGAGGACCTGGAGAATATGATCGATGAGTATGACCGGACTTGCGCGGCCACTACTGCCTCTAGCAAATCCGTCCGCATCCGCCTCTTTCTTTTTCCCGTCAATTCCGAAGGGGCGCCGCCGTCTTCCCATTCGATTGGTCCGATCATTAATAATTCCGCCAAGTCTGACGAGTGGTTCCTCAACGCGTTGAATGGGCCTGGGCTAGTCAATAGAGGTATCGCCGATTCGGCGACTGTGAATTGCTTGCTGGGTTTGGACGATGACCGCCCGGTGGAGTCGGGCGGGAGAGATGTGGAGGGAACTGGTAGTCAGAAGAATATGAATTTGAAGCAGCAGGGGAATCAGGATGTTCACTCGGTGCCCGATTCTCCCATGCTGGAAACTACATCCTCTTTTGGCTCGACGTCGTCCTCCCCTTCACTGGCCAATTTGCAGCCAATTCGAGTCCGGGAGGAGGATAGCAGTGGAGGCGAGAGGTCGAGGTTGCAACAGGATCAGAAGGTGGTGGGGCTTGAGGAGCAGTTTGCTCAGATGACTGTCAATAGTGGTGGGCAGAAGCAACCGGATGAGGCGTTTGTTCTCATGTCATCTCCGCCACCTATGCCCTCAACTCTAATGGTGTCTGGTGGTCTACCTTTGAGTTCCACGGCTGTTTCCGGAGAGTATCAGAATCGGGTTTTCTCGGATGATGAGAGATCTGATCATGGGGCTCCCATTGGGTACAGAAAACCACCTGCTCCACAGTCACAGCCCCAGGGTTTACCCATGCAGTATCAACAGAAGTCTAGTGGTGGTCATGAATTGCCTTCTCCAGATTCAGTCTCAAGGTATCATTTTGATCGAGCACAATTTTTCAGATTTTAACTGCTTTATCTCTGATGTGGATTGAAGTTAATTTGTTTCGAATTTGATGATCATCATCAAGTAGCTGATTTAGAACTTTTTGTGTTTGTTTTAACTCCTCAGTGAGACTAGTATTACGAATCCAATGTCTCGCCAAATACCTGTAATTTATCAAGAGCAGGTTGTTCAAATCCCCTCTGGAGCCAACAGGGTTCCTGCTAACCCTGTTGAACCAAAGGGTAATGTCTCTGATCCAAACACAAACACTCGGGTCCAGATACAGCAACAGGTTCAGGATACTGGTTATGTCTTGCAACCACAGCAATTTGATCAGCAACAGCCACAACAACCACAGCAGCAATTCATCCATGCTGGCGCACATTACATTCACCATCACCCCTCAGGGGCAGTGCCAATGCCAGCTTACTATCAGGTTTATCCTTCCCAACAGCAACCCAACCTCCATCATCACCCTCAGATTGATCAGCAGTACCCAGTGTACTATGTGCCTGCAAGGCAACCCCAGCCATACAACTTGCCTATGCAGCAGTCTAGCATGGGTGAAGCTCCCACTGCAATCCCATCTAGCCACCCTCAGAATCCTTCCAATCCTTCAATGGTTCCTCCTCCTGGAGCTTACAATCCTGTGAGAAATGCTCCAATGGGTAAGCCTGAAATGGCTGCTGTTACAGGAGTGTACAGAACAACAAATGCAGGTGCTCCACAACTGGTTCAAGTGCCAGCCGGTCAGCACCAGCAACAATATGTTGGTTACTCTCAGATTCATCATCCATCACAGTCTGTTGCCCCTACCTCAGCCACAACTGCTGCTTATGCTTATGAATATGCGGATCCTGCCCATGCCCAGATGTACTATACTCAGCCTATGGCACCAACGATGCCTTCTCAGATGAAACAATGACAGCTGCACAGCAATGGTCTTACCAGAAGCTTCTGCTCCGTTCTGAACCAACAACATCAAGTAGCAGATCAAAACTTCACAGCCAATGTAAATCAGTCAAGAAGAAATGGACAGCAATTTTGAGGGAAGGGTTTGGTTTATATATTTAAATTTTCTGTTTTTATTGTCATTATTGGTATTGGTTTGTGTTATGTACTTGTGATTATATAATAAGGAACTCCATGTTCTTTTTACTCTTTCCTGTATCTCGTATTGTTGGTATTGTCATGGGAAATGGAAATGGTCTAAAGATTATACCGTGAAAGTCCAAACTCCAAATATGATGTTTTGGTTCCTGCAGCTCAAATATCAGTTTCTGAATAGTGGTTACACAAGGAGCCAGGTTTCAGAATTAATTGTTTGATAATTCGTTCTTGATTCAGGATTCTTGTGATATTCGGTGTGCAGAGAAGAAGAAAGAACCTGTTTCTTCAGAAAAACATAACTTAGGGATGCATTCTTTGATACATTGAAAGTTCTGTTGAAGCAAAAAGTTTGCAGCAACGGATTTGTGTGGAATACTCTTTCTGAATTCAAGAAACCACTCCACGGAATTCTATTCTTGTTTGAAGCGAAGAGATCCTTATTTCATTGTTTGATCTGTGGAAGCAGTGCTTTCAGTTTGATTCTGTAACAGCATCAATGACATTCAGGGGGGTTGCCCTCGCTAGTTGCTACCATCTGAATAATCCCAGAATCACCCTACCTGGTTTCTCCATCCTCTCTTTCATATGATGAAAATGATTTCCTAATTTACTGAGAGGCCCCACTGCAACAACTTTCACTGTGTGGGAACTTGATAGGTGGCATAGCATTAGCATTCATGTGTCGACACAGTACACACTGCTTTTTGTGTAGGTTCTACAGCATTTATGTATGAACTTGAGTGTACTTTTCTTATTGGATGATGTATTCTGGGCAATTGGAAAATGGCCACATATTGTACTCTGCTATCGACAATTTTGTTTTAAATTTCCTGTTCACGCACCAGCTGCACTGAATGTCCTACAGGAGGAGTGAGTGTTGGATTTGGATACCATCTTTATCCATGGTTTTCTTCGCAAACATTTATTGATTCTACTCTTCTTTTCCAAATTCAGAGACCACAAAAATTTATAACCAACCTGACCATTGATCAGACCTAATTTTGACCTGTTCTTCGACTAGATACCATTATACAACTACTAAATAATGTTACACTGACTTTCACGTGAACACTGCACCTCTGATTCTGTATTTTTATTACGCCCCTTTAACTTTAAATCTAGTAATTAGCTGTTAATTTGTTGTACCATGTAATTAACGTACGAGGTTTCTGTGTTCTGTTCGTGATGTGAAACGTTTAACCCTGCATGATTAAAAAAAGTAAAAACGCGTATTAGTCACTTTCTGCTACTGGGAAAAACGCTCTCCCCGTCGTCCCCACTTCATTTCATTTTCATCGTGTCAACCTGTCTTATTCTCATCATCCTATGGGATGGAGCTCGGTTTTTGGACGTAATTATTTAGTCCAGATTGCCAAAAAATAAACCCCTAAAACACCTTTAGAAAACCTTAGCTGATCACTTGATTGAACCTTCCATTCCATAGCTGGATATGTTGAAATACTAAAAGATTTCAAATTTAAATTCATCTTTCTCATCTTTACGAGTAAGTAATTTAGTGTAATTAAAAAAAAAATTACGTCTTTCGAGAAATATCTTAATAATTAAAAAGTTTAAATCTTTATATTAAAAACTTTAAATTCAAATCATAATTGAGTAAAGAAAATATTTAAAAAACTAATTATATTTTATTATATAACTTATCACTTAATATATTAACAGTCTAAATAATTCAGTAATAATATCTTTTTATTAGAAGTAAAAGATTTTAATATCAAGTTATATAACATGCGAGTAAAATGAGATAGAAAATGAGAAAAGATTGTCTCTTGTTGTGCAACAAACATAAAAAAAATAATAATAAATAAATAAAAATAAAAATTTATCACTTAACGTCTAATAAAAGAACTACAGTGTTAACATAAGATGTCAAGCATCTACAGTATCCAATCCATTGCTAAAAGGAAATTGAAGCAATGGGGGCATGGAACCGTTATGGCGCCCATCACACCAATTTTCAAACTATAGTTTCAGGGAGAATGGTCCCCTTTTTCTTCATTCTGAATGCCACTCAACTAGAAAGGGGCCACAAGAGAATAATAATAACAATTATAATAAAACCTTGTACGAGCAATCAATTCGAGTTTACAAAAGCAAAACCCAGTTAACTTCTACATAGTTTTATCTTCTATGCAACTTAAACACAAGACAAAATCATATTCAACGAAATCAGGCTTCGAAAATGACCGGAACCAAAGGTGGGGTATTGACACAACATGTGAATGAGAACATACCCGTTCCGCACGCATTTTATCTCCAAAAGAAGAGTCTTTCTTTTCCATATGCCCTTCTCTTGATCAAAATAATTGGGGCTTAGCCTTTGATGTTCTTGAAATTTCAATGGTATAAGCCTTGACCATGATTGGGTCATATTCAAGAACATGATTTCTGCACACCAATTCTGTGCCCATTTTTCAACCCCAAACGTGCAGTGGAGATATGGAGGCTTGTCAAAGCAAAGATATATAATAGTCTTTAAATAGCAGCTATGGCAATGGGGGCCCAGCAAAAAGCAATGTATGTATTCATGAGGGGGAGGTTTTTGTCTTGAGTCCTAAGGTTGGTTGAAGGGATGCAAGTCTGTGTAGACACCCACAAGGGAGGAAAATGGGCACTTTATGAAACAAAGAATGGCAAATTATATAGATGTATGGGCGTGAAAATCAACTGTCTATAGTTGCATAGATGATTATCTGATTAGACAACTGTTACCTCAAATACTCTCACGCAATGATCGGCCCCACAAGAAGCTAGCTGCATGCTCGTGCAATTTTCACTTTTCTCACTGTTTCTCCAGGCCAAACGGTTTACTGCAGAAACATGGCAGATGAATGGATCCAGTTGTATGGCAATGGCAGCTGCTGCAGCTGGTAGTGTGGTGCTACCATCATTGGTTCTTCTGATACTAAGATTCCACAGTTCAATGAGTCCATTTTCCATTCCAACTGCTAGAAGCCCATGATTTCTCTGACGATCAAGACCAATCCAAGATAAGGCAGTGACACTGCTATTAAACTGTGGCAAAGTTAGAATCTGCTTAACTGAAGATTCTTCTTCTACAGCCCATATCTTCACTGTCTTGTCCCTTGAGCCAGTTGCAAATTCATGGCCAAATGGATTCCACGAACAAGCCCATATTATTCTTTTATGTGCCTCTTGTTTTGCTAAAAGCTTGTAATTAACTTCTCCTGTGCCTACGAAATTGGATAAGTGAAAGACATTAATCTTAAAATTTATTCAGAGAATAAAAACTATGAACTGCAATGTCCAGTCATGTAGGGTGAGCAACAATGATCATATGACTGCACTAAAGTCAGACGACATCCTTTTGCAGTTCAATTGAAAAGTAGAAAGCAGTAATAGTGCAGGACTATATTACACAATTAGCTAGGGATTAATGTACCTGTTTGATTGATTGCAAAAATGGAAAAATGGCGATCCCTTGAGACAGTCAGAAGAAGATTGTTGTCATGAGAGAATTCCATCTGAGTCACAGTTAAGCTGTGAGACTGCAACCTTCCAACTGCCTTCCATGAACCCACTTGCCATAACCATATTTCTGCTACCGTTGCTGACTGGGCCTGCAAAATGGATATTGATTAGCAAAAAATGAATTTAGTTTCAGCCTTGTTTCCTCTGCATTCAAGGATGTACCAGCCTACAAGGTAATAATTAACTCTGCACATTTCAACATTCCTCATTTTTCTTGACATTTTAACACAGTTTTATACCATCTACTGTAGCAAAGTAATCGTCCACTAGTCCATTTTGTGTTTTTGAAATTAACAAGTACTCTTTAAAATTTGATTGTGTAATCCATTCCTGACAAATGATTGATGCCAAGTCAAAGAAACAAATGACAAGTGAGAGGAATAATGATGAATGAAAACAAAAACAGTGCAGGATTTATGTCAAGGTTCAATTGACAAAAAATACAAAAATTCTCAAGCTTAACAGCAATTTTAGTCATTCTATTAAATTTTGTATTAAGCTAAATGGTAAAGAAAGCGTGATCTACCTTACAAGATGAAGCAATAAGGTTCCCCTCATGGTCACAGCATAAAGAAAATAGCTCATTCCCATGACCATAGAGTTTGTGTGACTCTGGCCATAGCGTATGCCATGCCAATTGATCATCAATAGGAGGTTCCGTTAACACAACTGGAACTGCATCTGGAATGGATTCAAGGGTGTCAAGGCCGTCATTACCATTTCTATCTGGGGTCTCAATGGAAGCTGCAAAGAAAAGAAAATTTTACAGTTAAATAATTTGTAAGTTGATGGCTTACGCTATTAATAAACTTATATCTATCCATGTAATACTGCAAACAAGAAAAGCACTAAAGAAAAAAATTGAGGAACAGGAAATTCTTCAATACGATCTAAGGGAATACTTATTCTTTAATTTATTTTCTCCCTCCAAGGAGATCTAAGCTTGGGTATGATTGAGATGCATTAATGAAGTTTGCATTTAAAGGGTTTAATGGCATACCCCTTTGGATTTTCAAGTGTTATATGCATAATATGTTAGTCTTTGAAACACTTGCTATACAGTTACCTTGGAAAGAGACTTACCATTTAAATAAATAGGTTTCTGTGACAGCCCAAGTGCAGACATATTTGCCCCCAGCACCTGAACGTCTACTTGAAGATCCTCAAGAAAACCACCTTGTTGTGAAGTGGCATGATGCAATGTCTTTAGAAAAGACAAAGGAGCTTCAAACACTCTACCTACTTTCTCCTCAGCTCCACTGACAAAACGATGGTTCCCTTTTCCTCGGATAATTGTCACACAATTAATATCATGACCATGAACTTGAGGGCGGGCAATTTCATGCCAAGACTCTCCATCAGAATCAGATGTTTGATATTTCCATGGAGCAAAAATACGAGTTGTCTGCCATTATTAATCGTCATATTAGTATGCCTATTTAATAATGTGAAAAATTCAAAGCAAAGTGTACAAATATCTTAACCCATCACTTATTTGAAATAAATAAACTAGATTGACTTGTTCAACTTGATTTTTCGAATAGATAACAAAATACTAGTACAATTTGCATTGGAGCATGAAAAATAGAGACTCAGGCATGCAGCACCCATCACATACATTTCATAAATCTTACACAATGAACATAACACTTTCACTGATGTGAGAATATGCTCACATACAGACCTTGAGTCACCAATGAAAAACATATGGAGATTCAATAAAAGGAAAACTTACAGGTGCACCAATGATACCGGATATTTGTGGTGTCTAGCACATTTTCTTATAGACATAAAGGTTATTATAGACCATTTAACTAAAATAGAATGAAAAACGTGTATTTGGAGTCTTCAAAATCGTCAGATGTTCAGTGAAGTAGCAAACTGTCAACAAATATGGCTACAAATTACCTGATCATGACTGACAGACAACATGTATTCACCAGACCTTGCCCATGCAATATCCGTCACAGCGGCAAAATGCCCAGAGGGGACTTTCTGTGGTTGCCAATTATCTGAGTTGACACCCACATTTCTCCAGAGATGGAATGATCCGCCATATCCATCTGCCAAAATTGACTGCCCATCTGGACTCCAGTGGCCACCATAAAACCCTAAGGCACAATGGCTTAGTTCTCCAACACTGACCACATTCATCCAAACACCAGTTTTCCTTTCAGGTTGCCAAATCATCATTGTCTTGTCCATTGCTGCAGACAAAATGCTTTGGGGTTGATAGAATGCCATTCCTCCATCAGGTGCCATCAAAGGGGGTTGCCACTGCACTGAATAGACCCAATCCTCATGGCCAATTAGAAGAGATTCCAGAGATATCTGATAAGAGGATGAGCCAGCTACAAAAACAGGGCCCTCAATATAAGATGCCAAGCTAATTTTATTTTTCCTGCCTGTACCATTGGTGCTGGCTAGAGAACCCAGTAGAGTCATCTTCCATATGCGTATACCTTTGTCCTGAGATGAACTAACAAGTAGCAAACTATTTGTTTCACTGCTATTGCATATAGGTAATGAGAAGTCCAAACTCCTAATCCAATCTGTGTGCCCTTTTAATTCACAAGCACGAACAAACTGGTAGCATACATAAAAACAATGTCAAGTTAATTTTATGCCACAGATAATTTCAAGGGAGACTTAGAGTCACATGGGTTGAGGTGGTAAGGAAATATTTGTTGTCTTAGCATCTCTAAGAAAGAATAACAATAGGCTGTAGATTGCAGACAAAAGATAGAGTCCAACTAGTTTTGGGGTTAAAAGCATGGATGGGCTAAGAGCTTAAGTTTAACTTAAGCAAATAAAATTCAATGCAAGAAAATATAAGACTAAAATGCAGAGATTAGTTACCTTTCCCGTCTTCTCTCCACAATAAAGATAAATTTTATTATCCAATCCCCCCATTGCCAGGGCCATATGCCCAGTATTTCCAGGCAGTTCTGCTAGTGAAAGTGCCACCATAGGTCTTGAGCCAACAGACAGAGTTTCCAGACATGACAATTTGCAGTCACCTAAAGAAGACATTGAGATTTAATAGTAATCAGCCAACATCCTTCAGTTTGTAGCCATACATAGATAGAAGATGCTACTTTACCATAACATTTGTCTGGAGGCTAAAAGTGCAGTTTAAACAGGTTCAGATTAACCATCAGAAAGGAGACCAACACATACTGAAGATATAAAATTTAACTGTAGCATGCTTAATATACACCTTATTACTTATAGAAAATAGAATATATATTTTTCCCAATATATACTACAGTAGCACCATCATTGCCTAACTTAAACCATTTGGGTAAAAGAGCTCAGTTGAAAGAAAAATAAGACTGCTTTAACAATAGGAAAACTTTAAAAAATAATGGAAAAAGAAAAAGAAAAAAATGCGCATGAACAACAAACAATCAGCAACAGGAAGCCCACATAACTAAAAGAGAAAATAACTTAAGTAAAATGAACTCAGATTTAAAATCTGGAAAAATGAGAGATCAAAACTCATAATCAAGTCTATTAAACAATTAGCTCACCTCCAGGAGAAGGGGGGAAGACTAGATCCCATATGCAAACAATACCATCAGAAGAAGAAGAAGCAAATATAGCCTCACTCTGAGAAACCATAAATCCAGCGATGCATGTAACACCCTTCTTGTGGGGTTGTGGTAATTGCAATACATGCCTCCACTGTAGACAATCGCAAAGAAAAGAAGATATGAAAGAATTTCTTATGGAACTTCCAACAGAAAATCACTCAACCAAATCCTTGAAAGTATTAATATCCAAAAGCACACATAGTCCTGTCAGAAAAAAAAATTCAGATCTGAAAGCACCCCATATTCCATTTTAAGCTCCTAAACGGGAAGTGACTTTTATGTTTTTCCAAATCCAAGGTAGCAGGAAAACAAAAGGAAAAAATAGAAAAAAAAATAAAAAAACAAAGGGCTAGATACCTTATTTTCAGAAAGAGATAGTTCCCATAGAATAATGGCACCATCAGCATCTCCAGACAGTAGATAATGTTGGTCCAATTGTTTTGCTGTAATAAAAGACAACCAAGTTCATCACAATCCCAAATAAGAAAACCACCAATTCAATTGAATGCTAATTCCATCATATCAGAACTACTTAAAGCATCTGTCTCTCAGAAAGGTTTAACCACCATTTTGTTGCTGATAACAACTAGTAACGAAAACTATCAATCTGAAATAACATGCTTCAAAACCCAAGTTTCATTTTGCTACTGCAACTCAAAACATACCTTTGAATGCAAATTTGTTACTTGGAAGCCAGTGGGTGCAGTTTACAACTGCCTTATGACCCGGAAGTGTTGTCAAAATCTGAGCAGACTGCAAAGAACAAAAGGAACCTTGATTAATGAAAGTAGAAGAGAAAAAGCTACATTCAGAAGATATAGAAAAGGTGACACCTTTGGAGAGAAAATAGCGACGGCGTTTTGGGCACCATAGGAGACCAAATCACAAGCACCCCATGAAACGTTGTTCACTATTCTGTTGCAGCCTGCTCCTATGAACGCTCTTTTGACTTGAACTTTACCATTATCAGACATTCTTCAGAGAAAATAAGGAAAGAGAGAAGGAGAGAGTTCTTAAGTTTGGTTACTTGAAAGACCGGAGGCGGAGGCGG